ACTGGTGGTATCATCCCTTTACAGGAGATTTAAGAAGAATCGCCCTGTTTCTTGTGGGTGGGTTTCCTCTTCCTTTTGATTTTTGAGACTGATGTCTTACCTGCTGTCCTCCCCCTTTTCTTCTTACTCATTCTGTGGGCTAAATTAGCATCCAGAGCACCTCTGCATCTGACTTACAACATTCTGTTATTGCTCACGACTCCCTCTTCCACAGCTTCTTGCTATTTGGGGTTACTTAGTGTTTCTCATGATTCTAGACTTTATTGCTTGTTGTCTGCTTTTTTATTTCTTGGAAAAAGAAAAATAGTCCTCTTAAACTTTTTAAAAGTCAAAATGACTCAAGAAAAAAAAATGTCTGGAATGTGAGTCTTCCCCTCCCTCCCCCCAGAGCCCTCATTTAGCACAGCACTCAGCGTTTGGCAGGTATGTAGCGGCCATTTTCACCAATAATCTTTAGAGTTGGGCCCACTTTTGTGGCTTCAACAACAGATTGAAGTTGTCACTAAAATAAAATAAAAAAATAAGAATGTTATTGCCTTGCAGCTCCTCTGTTCCCTTACCTGAGATATAAATAATGTTTGCCAGTAAATGCAAAGGCATTGTCACCAAGAGATGAATACTGATCTTTCTCTGAGCTTTTAAATAAAACTTCCCAGAATTATAAAGTAGGGAGGGTGAAGGGCAGAGAAAACAACCTTTCAAAAAGTTTAAATCAATAATGATTAACATTTGCTAGCCTCTATTTTCCTGCTAATAACTGAAGACAAGTACTAATTAGAGAAACCTCAAGTGTCTGGATTTCTAGTTGTACCAGATGGTGCCACATGAGAACTATTCATAGTGCCAGGAGAAGTCTGGGTTGTTCTTTGCTACCTTTCTTCTTGATCTTGTCTGAGGACACTGACATCTGCCTGCTTTTCTTTGTGCTTTATTTTTCTCCTAAATTTAGGAGGCATATTCCGCTATGTTTAGTGAGCACTCTTGTGATCTGTAATTTGTTTTTCCCTAACAAGCTCATTTCACTCATCATTTTCAGATTTCCTCTGATCCCTGTGTTATCACCTGAGCTCACCAAATGTTTAATCATCTCTTTGCTTCTTTCTTCCTGTTCTTTTTCAAGGTCACACAAGGTCACACAAAACTATCACCATCCTCCATCTCTTACTGCTAAGAGACCATTAAGACACTTGTGCCTCTTCAGGTTTTTCTTCTTTTTTTAAAACTCTTTTCACAGATTGTCTGAAAACATGTTTTCTTCTTTTGATTTGTACTTGAATATTGTCTTCCTTTGCTATTAACTCTGCTAGCCCACTCAGAGAAAGCTTTGATTCTTATATGGAAGTTTTCAGTACTTTTGAGTGTTGGTATTGTTTTGACAAATGCTGCCTGCAATATGAAAATCATTTGCATTAGGATAACAAAGTGTGGAACTGATTACATTTAACTAAATTCTTGCCTTTTTCTTTTTCTTTTTTTTAACAAAGATGTGTTTATTCTATCTGTTGTGAAAGTTATGATGTAATTGTCCTTTATAATGAAACTTGGTCTCGATTTGATGCCTTCTGAGGGAATTTTCTTTGGGGCAGTGTGAAAAATCAATAGTGACTGGTTATCTTCAATATCTCCAGAGTAAATGAGGAGTACTTCTTGTTTTTCAGGCGGTGTGGTGGAGAGTAAGTACTGGGGATTGAACTCAGGGGCACTCAACCACTGAGCCACATCCCCAGCCCTATTTTATATAGAGTCAGGGTCTCACTGAGTTGCTTAGTGCCTTGCTTTTGCTGAGGCTGGCTTTGAACTCATGATCCTCCTGCCTCAGCCTCCCCAGCCTCTGGGATTACAGGCATGTGTCACCACACCCGGCTGGAGTACTTCTTCTTCTTCCTCCCCGCCCCCCTTTCTTTTCTACCATATTTCTTGCTCCTACTGAAGGGTAAGGCAGAGGAGAATCAGCTAGGAAACTGCTACAGTAATTCAAGCAAGAGATCTGAGGGCCCGATTTTCTGGAATAGCATTAGGCATGGAAAATAATTCATATTATTATCTTAAAAATCATCTTAAGGGGTTGTGGCTGTGGCTTTGCGATAGCACACTTGCCTGGCACGTGTGAGGCACTGGGTTCAATTCTGAGCACCGCATATAAATAAATAAAATAAATAATAATAAAAGTCTATCAACAACTTAAAAAAGATTAAAAAAAAATCTTAAGCAAAAAGTGTTTTCTTAGTTTATTTTATATTTCATAATGCTGAAACTGCTTTTAGGGTTTAGAAACTACGTTTTTGCTTAGTCTTTTTTTTTAATCCCCCTTATAACATGCCTTTTTTATCCCCCTTTTAACAGGATACATGTATAATTATGAAATAATACATGCCCCATTTATGTATTTCCTAGTTATGGAAATCACTTACTTGATATCTCTTGTATCTTTAAAAAAATTAACATTTATGAGAAATTGTGGATATACTTAGAGGTATAGTGCTTAGCATGTATGAGACCCTGGGTTCAATCTTCAGCACATGCCCCCAACTCAACATTTTTGATTTTCCACCTTTAAAAGGGAAATTATTTCTTTACCTAGAGATAATGATTATTAATATTTCAGTGTGTTTCAGTTTTTCATAGGAATAGAAATAATTATTCCAAAAGGAAATGCTGATTCCCCTGATTGAAGTAATACACATACACTGTATGCATGTATTGAAATATTACACTGAACCCCATTACTATGTACAGTTAACACATGCTTATCAAAAAATAACAGAAAAAAGAAATAATTGTCATGAAACATATCTCTAAGTACTATACAAAATCTTGCATTTATGAAACATGAAATTATGAGATATCATTAAATACTATGAGAATTCTCATATTGGTCAATTCCCATTGATTCATCATGTGGATGCACACTATTTATTTTCCCATTTCCCTGCTATTGACAATTTAGGTTGTCTCTGACTCATTATAATGAATGCAATGGCCAATACTTTCATGAATATCTTCATATAGATCCTTAGAATAATGGATTACTGAATAAACATGTTTTTATAGTCAAGAACATTTCTGAAGTCTTGAAATTGGAAAGTGTAAGATGGGAATGAGTCTTGATGGCTGAAAGTTCCAACCCACACGTAGCAACAGTGTTTAGCTGCTCTGTGCTTCCTGCCTCTGCCACCTTTTTACCTGGTGTCCACTTTGGATAGAGAAGGGCAGAGTAGTTTGGAAAGAAGATACTGAGGGCAGGCAAGAAGACCCCTTGTTTCTCCCTAATTCATCTTTAGATACATCTCTACCCATCAGCTCAACTTGGATGCCCATGTGGTTACTGACTCTTCCTTGGAGTTTCTGTTTGATTTTAGTACAGGTCCTTGTGTTTTTCAAGGAAAATAGCTTTTATCCACCATGTCCTGTGATTTTTTTTTTTTTTGGCTATTTTATGAGCATTGCGCAATGACTAAAATATCTCTTGTAATTTCTGATATTCCTTCACTGTAGGAGGAGCCTGGTGAGGGTATAGTGATAGAATAGCATAAGGAGGGCAATTCACCTCACAACCCCCCCGGGCAGTTAATACTTTAGGAGCCAAGTTCAATACAACTCCTCTTGTTTACATATGTCAGTTTATTTAAGCAAATAATTATTTGGTTTGGCTATTAAGTCAGCTTTGTGTCACCATAACAAAATACCTGAGATAATTAACTTATAAAGAGAAAAGGTTTACTTTGGCTTATGGTTCCAGAAGTTCCAGCCATTGCTTTTAGGCCCCTGGTAGGGGTGCTGAATGGCATTAGTGGGGAGCATACGATGGAACAAACTGCTCATCTCGTGGCTAAGAAGAAAAATATAGGGACGAAGTTGATGGAGTCCCATAGTCCTCTTTGGGACACACCCCAATGACCTAAGGACCTCCCACAAGGCTTCACATCTCAGAGATACTGCCACCTCCCTATGGTGTCACCCCAATCAAGCCTTTATAGCACATAGGCTTTGGGGGGGGGGCAATTAAAATCCAAACTATAATCGGTGTGGAATCTCAGTATTCATAATTTAAAGAAACAGGCACACACACATTTGCCATTAAAAATGCTAAGTGTTTGGAGCTGGCAGTATAGGTCAGAGGTGCAGTGCTTGCCTAGCATGCACAAGGCCCTGGATTCAATCTCTTATACTACAAAACAACAAAAACAAAACAAAACAAAATCCAAACTGCTGAGATTTTCCCCATAATAGTATTGAGATTAGCTTGTCTTGATTCTTGTTACTCTGAGTTTTTTAAAAAGTTGATGTATAAAACCTACTCCTATTTCTTTTATGAATTCCCAAATAGCAGATTAACTAGTGGCATTTCATATTGCTATAAAATGCCCTTATGTTCTGTGAATAACATTAATTCTAATTAAATTTAGTATTTCCAGTTCTTAGTTAATGTTTCCTTCTTGAAATTTCCATATTAAAATTAATCACCCATCTTTAAGTCAAATTATTTCAGTGATTGCCGTTCTATCATGATCCCAGGGAGCTAACCACAGGATTAATTTTAAAATGTTGCAAATAGCATTTGTATCTATATTTAAAAAGTTCTCCAATTGACCAAGCAGATGTTGTTACAGATTTTTGTCTCTGATATGATAAATTTTCCATTAACTTTGAAAATCTGTGTTTAAGGAATGTGCTTTCAAGTTTTGCATAGTTGAGCTGCAATTTGTGAAAGTTCAAGCAGCTGTACTGACAACCATTTGATAAATTTGTAATTGAAGCTCTTTTCGGAAAAGACGAAGTTCTGGAGCTTTATGTTCTGTATTTTACTTTCATACACATGTATTTGAATTTCCTTTCTTTTGTAGGCCTGGAATTATGATATGCTTTGCACATACACAGAGGCTATGTACATATCCTCTCATATGTCCGGTTACATTGTCTACCCAACTTAAGTTGGAAGCAAAGATGCATTGTTTTATTTTAGGCTTTTGCTACCTAATTTAAAGTATTTTTCCTTTTAGGTTGAAGAAATTGTGGATGTTGGATCATTTGCTCCAGAAGACATCCACATTCCTAAGATTTATGTACATCGCCTTATAAAGGGAGAAAAATACGAGAAAAGAATTGAGGTAACAGACTTGGCTTCTTTGTTAGTATTTATGTATATGATTAGCAGAGGAATTTGTCCATTACAGATGACAGCAGATGGGAGCTAAACAGGAAGAGTCTCCTTGGTTCACAGTGTAAGAGCTTCTCGGTGTGCCCATTGTAGGGGAACGTGATAGTCTATGCCACTTTCCAGCCTAACGGTGACCATATCCCATAACTCTCGAGGCTCTGTCTGCTAGACTTCTGTCGTGGTTTTAATGAATAATGCATGGTTTTGGCTGGCTATCCTAGAGGGAAGCCAAGAATAATCAGGTCTTTGGTGGCTTTACCCCTGCTGGATTCTTAATGTTTGATTGCTCTAAAAATGTCTGCCTATCTTGAAATTGCTTTGTATTTTTATGGAATGCAGAAAGAATATCATTTTTAATTATCTTTGAGCTCTGAGCAGCTGGTGGGTATGAGGCTGTGCATGGATTGGGTACCAGGAGCATTGGAAGTATTCCAAGGCCAGGGAGAGAATAAAGAATGACCAGCTGGGCAAGCATTGATGTCAAGATTCAAAAGTGTCTAGGGATCAGCCACAGAATAGACACTTGATAGGCGATGTTAGGGAATTAGCGATAACCACTGCCTGTGGACATCAAACAGAAAGATGTTCTGCAAACCAAAACTGTTGTCAGGGACCTTGAGAGAAAGAATAGAACATTTGCAAACAGAAGCCAGAGTCTGCATCAAGGAGATTTAGTAACAGAAATTGTTTTCTGGCTGATTTCTAAATGTTTCTATGATTCCTGTGACGCACATGGAACAAAACCAGCCTAGACTCTGCAGGTGGAAATAGGCAATTGGCAGCAGCAACACCTGATAAACACATTCTGACAGCCCTGAAAAATGGATTTCTAAGGTCTATTCATTTTTCTTTGTTCTGGCTCAGTCTCAGAACACCTGAGGAGAACTCACTGGTAGGAGTCAGGTGAGTAACAGTAGTAGCAGCCAGTGTGACAGGAACATGGGCATTGTTTGTGTCAAAGACAGAACAGGTGTATCTTGCTCTTCAAATAAATCTGACCTCTTTCATTTTACTTCCTAAAGAATTACTTGTGTCACCAAATGTCACCCATGTTATTCTTTTTTCAAATCCTTCATTACATTGCAAATCTGCCTCCTAATAGTAACGAGAAGGTTCACTTTTTCTCAGTAAAATTTATGTATTGCAGCTTGCCTTCAACCATGAATAATGTATTCTGTTTATTTTACAGCGTCTGTCAACCCGGAAGGAAGAAGATGGAAAAGACAACTCTGATAAACCTGGAAGTAATGTAAGGGAACGTATCATCAAACGAGCAGCTCTTGAATTTGAGGATGGCATGTACGGTATCCTTTGTCCTTCTGAGACTGGCCAAAGGCAGCCCTTGCTTCTCTCACATTGCTCAGGCCTCCTGAAGAGTGCTTCCTCTCTAGTTCACAGCAACTTTTAAAACCATTGATCAGTGTTTTTATAAAATGTGGCATCTAACTTGAGGCCATTGGTATATGAAATTGGGGTTATAACCTGTTTGCCTTCTTAAAACAAAGTTGCAACCAAAAATTTGCTTACTTTCCACTCGACAGCAGATTTTAGTACAGTGTGGCATTTATTTAGAAGTTGTTGAGAAAAGAGGTTCCCCAAGATGAGGATTTAAAATCTCAGACTTACTAGTTTATTTTTTCCATATTGTGATATTTGCATACTCATTGAAACATAATATCAAGCTTCTTAACAAACCTCTACTTTCCATGACAAAGATTCTGGGAGTGCACCATTTTATGTCTAATGTTTTGTAAAGGGTATTCAATGCTTCAAATTCTGCTTTATGTACTTGGGGAAAAAGAGCTAGAGTAAACATCATTTAGTACAATTAGCATTTGGATTTTGAATGCATTTAAATAGCAGTGAGGCTGTTCACCATTATGCTAATTTTTTAAGAGACAAGACATTGAACTATATAATACGAATAGTATGTGATTAAATAAATATTGCTTGAACTGTGGCTAGAGTAAAGCCATACTTAAAGACCCAGGATAGGAAGAACTAGAAATGTGACAGAGTTTCTCCATTCTGTGAGCTTCCCTCATCTAGAAGGGACTTAGAGTTTGCCTAGAATGATTAACTCCGTCATTCCGATTGTGATCTTGACTGAGAAAGCTTTCGTTTTTTTTTTTTTTTTTTACTTCTACTGCCTCCTTTTTAATTTTATTTTTTTCCCCCAGTTGTACCTTGTAGTATGATGACAGTTCACATCAGGGAAAAGAGAATGTTGCAAATCATCCAAATCCTGCATAGGCCAGAATTATATTGACTTATAGTGAAAGTTAGCCACTGGAGTTTCTTTTGGGTCAAATGACTTCCCGTTGATATTTAAACACAGACTACAACATTGGCTAGAGATAATAATTGAGATTTGTAATGACTTGTAGGTATTCTCTATTCACTGTTACTGTATTCCTTGTGAAAAATATATGCAAGTCAGTTCATCTAAATGGTCTTTCCATGTCACCCACTCTTCTTCAACATAGACTTCTCTCTCCCTGGTATGCGACTTACTAAAAAGTATTTTTAAAACCACACAAATAGTAGAATATGACAAAGGAATTGAGGTATAAGGCTTGTAAGTTGGGTTGCTCTTCTCTGAAAATACGTCTTCTTAAATCACTAGCTCAGTGTGTTCTGTGCATGATAAATAAAGTACAAATGGCATTATATTACTTTAGGCTGTGATTTGGTAAGAGCTGAACCGAGGAGCTGTCTTAATAGCTTCATAGACTTACTGCACTCATAGAGACCTGGGTCACTGAGTTGTCTGTCCTTTTGGGCTTTTGTAGTTCATAATATGGTGTCATCTATAAATTTTATTTTTTGTAGCCTTGATTCATAAAGATTTCACTGTAAATGGTACCTCATCAGCATGCCATTATTATTTGTATTAGTTCTTTGGTGTGCTGTGATAGTGAACAGCACTGCACAGCAATTCTTGACTATCTCTTCTGGGCTCAGCCTGCCTGTGAGAAGCAGGACTGATACCACACCAGGACCTGCAAGTCAGGCTCAACCCTGCTTTGGTCCTTTAAGGGAGAATATTCCACCCCCTCAGTTACTTCTCAGATGCCCCTTTGGTAGTTTCTTTTTTATATGGCCTCAAGTGTGTTTGTGAAATGTACCTCCCTCTCTACCGTGTCTTTCACATGATTCAGTTACTAGTGAATGTCACCACAAGGACACAAAGGATTGACATGCTTTAGGCAGACATTTGGGTCTTGCCAGAAAACTTTTTGAAAATCTTAAAAATAGCATCTCCTCTTTGGAATATTAAACCATATCTATTTATTCATTAATTATATTTTTTGTTTAAAAATCCTTAGTTTCAATTTTTTTCCTATTTTTATTTATTTCTTTTTATGTGGTGCTGAGGATTGAACCCAGGGCCTCACACCTTCGAGGCAAGTACTCTACCACTGAGCTACAGCCCCGGCCACAAATCATCTTTGTTTTTTTTTTTTTTTTTTAATTTTTTATTGTGGGTTGTTCAAAACATTACAAATTTCTTGACATATCATATTCCACACTTTGATTCTACTGGGTTATGAACTCCCACCTTCACCCCATACACAGATTGCAGAATCACATCAGTTACACATCCATTGATTTACATATTGCCATACTAGTGTCTGTTGTGCTCCGCTGCCTTTCCCATCATCCACCCTCCCCCCTCCCCACCTCTCCCCTCCCCTCCCCTCCTCTCTCTCTACCCCCTCCACTGTATAACCCTGAGGGTCTCCTTCCATTACCATGCAATTTACCTTCTCTCTCCCTTTCCCTCCCACCTCTCATCCCTGTTAAATGTTAATCTTCTTCTCCTGTTCTTCGTCCCTACTCTGTTCTTAGTTACTTTCCTTATATCAAAGAAGACATTTGGCATTTGTTTTTTAGGGATTGGCTAGCTTCACTTAGCATAATCTGCTCTAATGCCATCCATTTCCCTGTAAATTCTATGATTTTGTCATTTTTTAATGCAGAGTAATACTCCATTGTGTATAAATGCCACATTTTTTTTATCCATTCGTCTATTGAAGGGCATCTAGGTTGGTTCCACAGTCTTGCTATTGTGAACTGTGCTGCTATGAACATCGATGTAGCAGTGTCCCTGTAGCATGCTCTTTTTAGGTCTTTAGGGAATAGACCAAGAAGGGGAATAGCTGGGTCAAATGGTGGCTCCATTCCCAGCTTTCCAAGAAATCTCCATACTGCTTTCCAAATTGGCTGCACCAATCTGCAGTCCCACCAGCAATGTACAAGTGTACCCTTTTCCCCACATCCTCGCCAGCACTTGTTGTTGTTTGACTTCCTAATGGCTGCCAATCTTACTGGAGTGAGATGGTATCTTAGGGTGGTTTTGATTTGCATTTCTCTGACAGCTAGAGATGTTGAGCATTTTTTCATGTACTTGTTGATTGACTGTATGTCCTCCTCTGTGAAGTGTCTGTTCAGGTCCTTGGCCCATTTGTTGATTGGGTTGTTTGTTCTCTTATTGTCTAATTTTTTGAGTTCTTTGTATACTCTGGATATTAGGGCTCTATCTGAAGTGTGAGGAGTAAAGATTTGTTCCCAGGATGTAGGCTCCCTATTTACCTCTCTTATTGTTTCTTTTGCTGAGAAAAAACTTCTTAGTTTGAGTAAGTCCCATTTGTTGATTCTAGTTATTAACTTTTGTGCTATGGGTGTCCTATTGAGGAATTTGGAGCCCGACCCCACAGTATGTAGATCGTAGCCAACTTTTTCTTCTATCAGACGGCGCGTCTCTGATTTGATATCAAGTTCCTTGATCCATTTTGAATTCACTTTTGTGCATGGCGAGAGAAAGGGATTCAGTTTCATTTTGTTGCATATGGATTTCCAGTTTTCCCAGCACCATTTGTTGAAGATGCTATCCTTCCTCCATTGCATGCTTTTAGCCCCTTTATCAAATATAAGATAGTTGTAGTTTTGTGGATTGGTTTCTGTGTCCTCTATTCTGTACCATTGGTCCACACGCCTGTTTTGGTACCAGTACCATGCTGTTTTTGTTACTATTGCTCTGTAGTATAGTTTGAAGTCTGGTATCGCTATACCGCCTGATTCACACTTCTTGCTTAGCATTGTTTTTGCTATTCTGGGTCTTTTATTTTTCCATATGAATTTCATGATTGCTTTCTCTATTTCTACAAGAAATGCCATTGGGATTTTGATTGGCATTGCATTAAACCTATAGAGAACTTTTGGTAATATCGCCATTTTGATGATGTTAGTTCTGCCTATCCATGAACAGGGTATATTTTTCCATCTTCTAAGATCTTCTTCTATTTCTCTCTTTAGGGTTCTGTAGTTTTCATTGTATAAGTCTTTCACCTCTTTTGTTAGGTTGATTCCCAAGTATTTTATTTTTTTTGAAGATATTTTGAATGGAGTGGTTGTCCTCATTTCCATTTCAGAGGATTTGTCGCTGATATACAGGAATGCCTTTGATTTATGCGTGTTGATTTTAAATCCTGCCACTTTGCTGAATTCATTTATTAGCTCTAATAGTTTCTTTGTAGAGCCTTTTGGGTCTGCTAGATATAGAATCATATCATCTGCAAATAGTGATAATTTAATTTCTTCTTTTCCTATTTTTATGCCTTTAATTTCTTTCGTCTGTCTAATTGCTCTGGCCAGTGTTTCGAGAACTATGTTGAAGAGAAGTGGAGAGAGAGGGCATCCCTGTCTTGTTCCAGATTTTAGAGGCAATGCCTTCAGTTTTTCTCCATTCAGAATAATGCTAGCCTGAGGCTTAGCATAGATTGCTTTTACAATATTGAGGTATGTTCCTGTTATCCCTAGTTTTTCTAGAGTTTTGAACATAAAGGGATGCTGTACTTTGTCAAATGCTTTTTCCGCATCTATCGAGATGATCATATGGTTCTTATTTTTAAGTCTATTGATGTGGTGAATAACATTTATTGATTTCCGTATATTGAACCAGCCTTGCATCCCAGGGATGAATCCTACTTGATCATGGTGTACAATTTTTTTTATATGTTTTTGTATCCGATTCGCCAGAATTTTATTGAGGATTTTTGCATCTAGGTTCATTAGAGATATTGGTCTGTAGTTTTCTTTCTTTGAAGTGTCTTTGTCTGGTTTAGGTATCAGGGTGATGTTGGCCTCATAGAATGAATTTGGAAGTTCTCCCTCCTTTTCTATTTCCTGAAGTAGCTTGAAAAGTATTGGTATTAGTTCTTCTTTAAAGGTTTTGTACAATTCTGCTGTATACCCATCGGGACCTGGGCTTTTCTTAGTTGGTAGTCTTTTGATGGTTTCT